TTTTTAAAAAATTGTATTAAAAAAAAAAACAAAAAAATAAATCTTAATTTATAAAAAAATTAAAAATTGATGATTCTTAATTTCTCTTAGAGAATAGTTATTTTTGATAGGTTTCCATAGTGAGTTTGCCAAAATAATGATTTTTCTTAAAGAATCATCAAATTGGCGGATTCCTATAATGTATTCGCCAAAATAATGATTTTCTCTTAGTTACTTTTAACTGGTTCCCATAGCGGGTCTGCCAAAATAACGATTTCTCTTAGAAAATTGTCAAATTTGGCGAGTTTCTATAGAGAATTCGCCAAAATTATAATTTTTTCTTAGAGAATCGTTATTTTTGATGGGTTCCCATAGCAGGTCTGCCAAAATAACGATTTCTCTTAGAGAATCGTCAAATTTGGCGAGTTCCTATAGAGAATTCGCCAAAATAATGATTTTCTCTTAAAGAATTATCATATTTGGTGGGTTCTCATAGAGAGTTCGCTAAAATAACGAATTCTCTTAGAGAATCGTTATTTTTGACGGGTTTCCATAGTGGGTCTGCCAAAATAACAAATTCTCTTAGAGAATCATTATTTTTAGCGGGTTCTCATAGTAGGTCTGCCAAAATAACGAATTCTCTTAGAGAATCGTTATTTTTAACCAGTTCCTATAGCGGGTTCGCCAAAATAATGAATTCTTTTAGAGAATCATTATTTTTGATGGGTTTCCATAGTGGGTCTGCCAAAATAACGAATTCTCTCTTAGAGAATTGTTATTTTTAACCAGTTCCCATAGCGGGTCTGCTAAAATAATAATTTCTTTTAGAGAATCATCAAATTTGGCAAGTTCCTATAGAGAATTCGCTAAAATAATGATTTTCTCTTAAAGAATCATCATATTTGGCAGGTTCCCATAGAGAGTTCGCCAAAATAACAAATTCTTTTAGAGAATCGTTATTTTTAACCGGTTCCCATAGTGGGACCACCAAAATAACGATTTCTCTTAGAGAATCGTCAAATTTGGCGAGTTTCCATAGAGAATTTGCCAAATAATGATTTTCTCTTAGAGAATCGTCATATTTGGCGGGTTCCCATAGAGAGTTCGCTAAAATAACAAATTCGCTTAGAGAATCATCAAATTTGGCGAGTTCCCATAGAGAATTCGCCAAAATAATGATTTTCTTTTAGAGAATCGTCATATTTGGCAGGTTCCCATAGAGAGTTCACCAAAATAACGAATTCTCTTAAAGAATCATTATTTGTAGCAGGCTCCCATAGTTGTTCCGCCAAAATAACGAATTCTCTTAGAGAATCGTTATTTTTTAATGGTTTTCCATAGTGGATCCGCTAAAGCAACAAATTCTCTTAGAGAATCATTATCTTTAGCGGTCTCTCATAGTGGGTCTGCCAAATAATGATTTCTCTTAGAGAATCATTATTTTTTAACAGTTTCCCATAGTAGACCCACTAAAATAATGAATTCTCTTAGGGAATCGTTATCTTTAGTGGTCTCCCATGGTGGGTCTGAAGGTAAGTTGTAGTTGATGGTGGGTAAGTAGATTTTTTCATTTCTTTATTTTTTAATTTTTATTTTTTTTCTTTTTCTTTTTTGTAGTTATTTTTCGGATTTCTTTTTTTCTCTGGATTCTAAGGTACTTTTGATTTCGGTGGGAAGGAACTTTTTAATTAATTTTTTTTTTTTTTTAGAATCAATCTTTCTCTTGGATCATTTAGGTTTGGATTTTTATTATAAAATTTCTTTTTTAT